GACCGCGAGACCTCCGTTCAATCGGAGGCCATTACACCAGAGGTCACTGAGGGTGCTGACAACAGGTCTGTTGAGCCTGAGAAACTCGAACAAGATGCAGATCAGCCTCCTGAGAAGGTCTCGGAAAGCAGCCCATCAGACGAGTCTCCCGCCGCGGAAACTATTGCGGAGACCGTTGACAACAGTGTGACGCCGGAAACACCGAATACTAGCGATGTGAAGGCAGACAGTAATGAAGAGCAAGAGCTTAGTACGTATACCTCAAACACACGCGATAGCTTTTTATGTATCTTTCTAACAGGATTTTAGATGTTTCCCAGGGCGAGTCTATCGAAGAAGCATCATCTACACAAGAGGCGGCGATTTTGACTCCAGAAAACGACGAACATAATATTTCAAACCCTACGCCTGAACTAAAAGAACAGACAGAATCAGACTCAGTCGGTGAGGCAGTACCAGTTGATAACAACGAGGAGGTTGCCCAGCAGGCCAGTGCAGCTGCGCCAGCCACGACGACAGAAGAGATTGGTAAGTGTTTTATTTTCTCTTATTCGTCTCCAAGTCTCCCATCTACTAGGAATCTCGCAATACCTTTCTGGGGCTTGGTTGCAGAATTCTGTGTCCACAGTGCCGTTGCAGGCACAGGTACATAGTTCCGGCCACGAAGGTAAAGTGAGGCGTCGTGGGCCGGATCTTCGCCAACTTTCGCGAATGCTTTCTGGAGCCCAACGGCGTTACTCAGCTTTTGCCATGGTCACGTGGTCTGCATGCCCTTCCAATTGGGTTGAAGTTCGTGTCCAGGCATGCATGCATAAATTTATTTTGCTGCATGTCGCGGCATGCGCTATTTGCTGCAATGAATCGTTGCGCTCCACTCTCTTGTTTTCTGCAGCTTATCCCACGCAAGCACCAGCAAGATTACCCACCCAGTCCGCCCCCCCTCCGTCACCACCACCACCCACCATCCATTCTTTGCACCTTGCTTTACACCTCGCTCTCTTTGTACCTGCCGCGTGTGACTACCTTCAATAATTTTTCAACATGATTGTCCTATAACATCACGTCTAACTAGCGATAGACATTCCGCCAGCTTCCGATGAGGGGATCGCAAACATGAGTACCAAACAAGAGCAGGAACCCGAGGTGTCTAGCACCTCAGGTGTACTCACTGCGGACTCTACTGAGCCATCGACGGCAGTTGCTGACGGTTCTGTGGTGTCTTCCGTGGTGGAAGATGCTAAGGACGTCGAGGCTAAAAATACCGACAATGCTACGGCTAGCGTTGTCGTCGCTGGTGATGAAGATAAAAATTCTCTCGCAGAGGAGAGTGCCTCCGATTTAGATGGGGAGTGGTCCCAGAGCGAGGATGAAGACGACGATGATAAAACTGGCCTAAAAGAGTCGGAGAACGAGAAACATGATGCTGGTGGACCGCCACCGGAAGATACTCAAGAACCTGATTCTCTAGATCTCGAGAGCGACGTTTCTCCTGACTCGGTTGCACCTATGACAGAGCAAACAGAGGAAGCCGAACCAATCGAGGCCCCAGCACAGGCTGAAGCAAATCACGAGCAACCAGAGGATGATGTTATCGAGAAAGGGTTGACTGAGAATCCTGACCCCGCTGAGGGGACTGAAGATGTCGCCGTAGTTCAGGACGTGAATGCACCCGAGGCTGCTGCAGTAGCAGAGCTTGCGCCGGCTCAAGACGACGTAGCAGCTGATGAAGTATCGACCACTGCACTCAGCCAGGAACCTGAACCAGAGACACAACTTGCTGATGAGCAAATTGTGCTTTCAGTGGAAGGGGACGCCGAAAATAACTCAGCTCCTGACGAGGAAGGCGAAGAAGTCAAGGAAAAAGAGGATGCCGACAGCGCCCAGGATGCACCTCCTGAAGCAACAGCAGAGGACTCAGAGCCTACATCCCAAGCAGCGGCACCGGAACCTGTAGCAGGCGAGTCTAAGCCAATCGAGCCAGAACAACCCGAGCCCTCCGCCGTTGAAGTTGCTGCAGTGGAAACTAGTGAATCGATCGAACCTGCTGTGGAAGAGACAGCTAAGGAAGAGCACGATGTCCCCGCCGAGACGGAGGCCGCCCCGCAACCTGAAGCCCATACAGACTCTGAACCTGCTGCAGCAGAACCAGAAGCTCCTGCAGATCCCGAACCTCTTACGGAACAAGAGACTCCTGTAAATGCAGTGCCTCCCGCAGAACAAGAGCCTCCCGCAGAACAAGAGCCTCCCGCAGAACAAGAGCCTCCCGCAGAACAAGAGCCTCCCGCAGAACAAG